GTGCAGGAGGTAGCTGATGGATGTTTCTCTCGCATCAATGTTTCTAACTCTCTATCCCTCTCCCTTCCTCTCTGTAAAAAATCAATAAAATACATTTTTTAAAAGCTGCCATTATATTGGAATAATATAATCTTGTGGGAATAAATTTATGCAATAGATAATATTTATGAATGCTGCCATTAATTAAAGAATTGCATTGATGAATATTATTCAAAATATTCCTAGAACTTGGGGAAGTCATGGGAGGCTGAGAAATAGAAAAGAGGAGGGTCATCATACCTGTAAACTCTCCAGCAGAACATCACACAACCTGAGAAGCCAAGACCTTCCAGTTAGAAGGGTCATTTGTCCAACTTACTCAGTTTGTCTGAGGGTGATTCCAGGCCCCTTGTTTGAGATCCTACTCCTCTTTATTCACTAAGGCATGGGAAGTAACAGCCTCTGTTACTTCATCACTGTGTCGGCAACATCCCTTCTCACATCTCCCATTCTACACATCCTTGGGTCTAAGGAACTTTGGATCCCAAAGGAAGCTAGATCCTGGAGGAATTCATTAAAGGCAAGGAGGCTGAGAAATAGAAAAGAGGAGGGTCATCATACCTGTAAACTCTCCAGCAGAACATCACACAACCTGAGAAGTCAAGACCTTCCAGTTAGAAGGGTCATTTGTCCAACTTATTCAGTCTGTCTTAGGGTGATTCCAGGCCCCTTGTTTGAGATCCTGCTCCTCTTTATTCACTAAGGCATGTGAAGTAACAGCCTCTGTAGTCATCACTGTGTCTGCAACATCCCTTCTCACATCTCCCATTCTACACATCCTTGGGTCTAAGGAACTTTGGATCCCAAAGGAAGCTAGATCCTGGAGGAATTCATTAAAGGCAAAGCAATTACCCAGGACCTCTCAGGACAATTCTCTGAGTCTTAAAGAAGTGACCGATTACAGTCACTGATAACACCTGACTATACCTTGGGAGAAGGTAGAATAGAGAAAATTTCGTAAATAGATGTTTAAATACTGCCTGTCTAAGGAATAACAGTGGTCTTGTGGGGCTTGAACCTACATTTTCTGAGGTGAAGGTAGAGGGAGAAGCCATAAAAATTAGCAGGGATGAGAGTGTTGTGCATACTCACAAAAGATGTGGTACATATATACAATAGGATACAGTAGAAAGGATAAAGATGGCAGTGAATCACTTTGCGAATATGGACATTTCATGATATTAATTCTCCCAATCCATGAACATGTCACATTTTTATATTTATTTATGTCTGCTTTAAATTCTTTCAGCTACATTTTATGGTTTTCAGGATACAAGTCTTTCACATCTTTGTTGAGTTTATTCCTAACTACTATTTGATGCGACATCAAATTAAAAAGTTTCTGTACACCAAAGAAAACAATCAATAGAGTAAAAAGAACTCCTGCCGAATGGGAGAAAATAGTTTCAAACCATCTACCTGATAAAGAGTTAATATTCAAAATATAGGAGATTCTCCAGAACTCAATAGCAAAAAAATTAATTATCCCACTTAAAAAAGTGAAAAGTGTTTCTCCAAAGAAGACATACATAAGGCCCCCAGGAATATGAAAAAGGGGCTAAACATTACTAATCATCAGGAAAATGCAAATCAAAACCACAATGAGATATAACCTCATACCTGTTAGGATGGGTGGATATTATTTTTAAAAGATGAGTGTTGGTGAACCTGTGGGAAAAGTAAACACTATACACTGTGGGTGGGGATGTAGAATGGTGCAGTCACTATGGAAAACAGTAGGGAGGTTCTTCAAAAAAATAAAAACAAAATTACCATATGAACCAGTAATCCCAAATCTGTGGTGAGTACATATCCAAAGAAAATTTAACCATGATCTCAAAGAGATATCTGTTCTTCCCCGTTCACACTAGCCAAGATATGGAAACAACCCAAATGTCCATCAATACATGAATGAATTAAAAAATGTGGCATATGCATGCAGACAGTGGAATATTATGCAACCTTTAAAAAAAGCCTTGACATCTGTAACAACATGGATGAACTCAGAAGACAGTATGTTAAGTGAAATAACAGAAAACAGTAAAACAGATACTGCATGACTCCACCTATATAAGGTATCAAAATTAATCAAACTCCTAAAAGAACAGAATAAAATGGTGGCTGTCAGGGACTGAAATAAGGGGGACATTGGAATGACTTATCAATATGTAAAATAAAATAAAGTTTCTTTTGTGTAAGATGAGTAACTTCTCAAGGTCTGTTGTACAATATCATCCCTATTGCTGATATTATGGTATTGTGCACTACAAAATATGTTGAGGATAGGACTCATGTTCAAACATTCTTTAAAATTTTTTTTAAAAGACCCACAAAAGTACACAAGAAAATTCTTGGAGGTAACGGATATGCTTAATACCTTGGTTGTGGTGCTATATCATGGCTGTATGTATATGTTTAAATTCATTAAGATGTATAGTTTAATGTGTACAATTTTTATCAGTTTTACCTCAATAAAGCTATAAATGGAATATAAAACAAATATGGAGGAAATATAAAAAGTTCATATTTGTATACTAAGATTAAAGTGTTCGTAGAGTATTTGAAGTGGAGATGTCTACTATGAAGATAAAAATAAAAATTAAGAACTGGAGAAAAGTATAGGCTGCAGATAGAGATGTGGAGGTAAGAATGCATGAGAGGATTAAAATTATGGGTTTAGATGTCATCACTTAGTGGGGAGAATAAGGAAAAAATGGACCCAAGTTGGAAACCTAGACAGTGCCATATATGGAGCTCAAATTGAAATATGAAGGCCTGCTACCCTTACTTCCGAGGTGCGAGAAAATGGGAAGAAACCCTAAGTTCAAATATACTGGGATATTAAATAAGCTCAATACTAACCCACTCTGGGACCGGCAAGTCATCAAATCCCATTTTTCTTTCTTTTTCTTTTTTCCCCTTTTTTCTCTGCATACTCACAACTATAAACCCACTTTTGCTCCACCTTGTATATGTGCTAGTTATATTATTAGGAAAGATATGATGGATAAGATGCTCCTAAAGGCAGGAAATTGTCTTTTTCAAATTTTTCATCTTTTGAAGATTTATCTTTGTTTTGCACATAGTAAATGTGTATATATTCAAATTCCTTTTTCAATCTTTAAAAAGGTGATAAGATTCCACAAAAAGGAGCAGAATTTGTCACAAGAGTAGATTAAGATCATGAGTCTAAAATTGTTTGATAATTTCCAAAATACTACACAAGAGTGACAGTGAGACTGTTAACCAGACTCTGGCTTTCATTCTCATACCTGAGGGGGAATGTTAAGGACTCCAGGTGTTAAGTGAGCTCCCAGGTAAAGACAAACTAAACTATTGCAGCAAAGAGAAAATCCATTTATGTAAGCTTCAGGTCAAAAGAAATGAAAGTAAATCAGATAACTAAAGGTTAAGAGAGAGTATTGTGAGCACTTGCTGGAGAAGAGGTAAGTTAAGAATTTGTAGCCAACAATAAAAAGTCCAGTCTAGAAGAGGTAATCAGGACAGTAAGAAGTTTGAATTTTATTTCATATGGACTTGGGAGGACAAGTATTTTTAGAGCAGAGTTTTGGTTAAAAAACACATGATATGGTAAATTACTGCTGTAATAATTAGAGACACATAGATCAGTTCAAAGTTTTTAAATAATGCTTCTTGAGGATCACCTGGGATAATAAAGAGGAAGACTTTGTGAACATGTCACTGAGATCCCCTTTCTATGTTTAATTGCACACCTCCACGTCATCTCTTTTACTTACTGTACAATTGTTTAGAATGTCATTTCTTTTAAAAACATCAATACTAAAAAAAGAGTAGGTTAATATCACAATATTTTTTTTACAAAAAAGATCTATTAGTTTTTTAATGTATCTTTGTTGTTGAAAAGTTGTCCCTCTTTTTCCTCCATTAATGCCCCTGCTCCTACTTCCTTCCCCTCCCCAGTCCTTCACCCACTATGGTCTGTGTCCATGGGTTATTAATATGAATTTGTCTCCTGGATAAAATTATTCAAAAATACTAAGCTTTATCATCATACAGAAAAGGGAGTTTTCTTTCTACAAAAGACTCTTCCCAGGGCTCCCTTCATGTCTCTGTTCCTCAGGCTGTAGATGAACGGGTTCAGCATGGGTGTCACCACAGTGTACATCATAGCCATGACCATATCCTTCACAGTAGAATTATCAGCTGATGGGCATAAATAGAGACCAATAACTGTCCCATAGAACAGTGACACCACAGCCATGTGGGAGCCACAGGTGGAGAAGGCCTTGCGAATACCTCTAGCAGAAGGGACCTTGAGAATAGATGACACAATTCGTGCATAGGATGTGAGGATGAGTAGGAACGGGATGACAAGAATGAGCCCTCCCATGATAAATATCACCAACTCATTGACTTGAGTGTCAGAGCAGGACAGCTTCAGCAGAGCAGACATGTCACAGAAAAAGTGAGGAATCACATTGTCGGCACAAAAACACAACCTGGCCATGAGCAGAGTGTGTAACATGGCATGCAACGTGGTCAGCCCCCAGGACAGCGCCACCAGGGAGAGACAGAGCTTGGGGCTCATGATGGTGGTGTAGTGCAGGGGGAAGCAGATGGCCACATAGCGGTCATAGGCCATGGCCACAAGGAGGAAGCTCTCCAGGTCTCCAAAAAACAGGAAGAAGTACATCTGGGTCAGGCAGCCTGTGTAGGGGATGGATGGGACTTGGCTCTGCATGTTCTGCAGCAACTTGGGCATTGTGACAGAGGAGAAGCAGAGGTCAGAGAAGGACAAGTTACTGAGAAACAAATACATGGGCGTGTGGAGTTGAGAGTCCAGGCGAATCAGGAAAATGATGAGGAGGTTCCCCAGGACGGTGGTAACATACATGACCAGGAACAGGGCATAGAACAGGTTTTTCCGCTCTGACTCGATGGGCAGGCCCTGGAGGAGGAACTCTGTGATGGCAGTTTGATTCCTTCCTGCCATATACTTCTTCTGAGAAACAAATACATGGGCGTGTGGAGTTGAGAGTCCAGGCGAATCAGGAAAATGATGAGGAGGTTCCCCAGGACGGTGGTAACATACATGACCAGGAACAGGGCATAGAACAGGTTTTTCCGCTCTGACTCGATGGGCAGGCCCTGGAGGAGGAACTCTGTGATGGCAGTTTGATTCCTTCCTGCCATATACTTCTTCAATGCCTTTAAGAAAACAGTGTTCATTAAAATCTGAATTTAAATGAAACATATTTTATACAATATGGTCTGTGTGATGGTCTGCAAAAATATGTTATATCAGTTTCATAACAATAATATAACCTCCAGACCCAAAATCTCTATAATCAGAATCTTTATGATGGAAAATGCCTTATTTTCTTCAGTTCTCTTTGACAAGTAGCAATATTTCACAGCAATATTCCAGCCTTTCTAAAACTCTCTTATCTATTTTCTCTCTCCCCTTTCCTTCCACCCTTCCTTCCTCCCTCAATGATTTTTTTAAAATCCTTCCAAATGGGCTTCATGATCTGACACTTGCCTATCTCCACAGCTTCATCTGGCTCCACAGTGACACAGTCCTCTCTCCACCGGTACAGGACTTATACGTCACAATTCATTGCCTTCAGCTTTTCGCACTTACGTTCCCCTTGCCTAGCACCTTACTCCCTCTGCTCCTTCCCCTGGCTTCCCCTACTTATTCCCTCTCTCCCCAGACCAGGTGGGAATCCACTGCTAGGTTTCCACAGCATCCTGAGCTTATCCCCACCACACTCGGTCCCATGGGGATTATTTGTTTATAGGTGTCATCCCTACTGAATTGGAAACTCCATGCAGAAAAGGGCATGACTGCAGCAGGACCAGCAACTGGCATGGTGCCTCAATGAAGCTGATGTTTCATAAATATTTATTGGTTGTGCTTCAGACTGAGACATGCATTCCTCCAACTTTAAAGGCAGCAGAAGTTCTTTTAAGTAAAACAAAAAAAGGTTCTTTCAAGTAACAGTCACTACTCCTACTAAATTCTCCCAGAACAAGAACTCACTGGCCTCTACCATTTCACACTAAATTTGACACTTTATTACAGAATATGTGGGTATAATTGTGTCCATGGAAAATGTCAGGGTACCTCAGATTCACTACTCTTGTCACTCATACTGATGATAAAGATAATGGAGATGATAGATAGATAGATAGATAGATAGATAGATAGATAGATAGATAGATAGTCTAATAGTTCTATTTCTGTAGAGCACAATGACTAAGACACCTTAATGTGCCTAAAAGCAGACAAAGAAAGCAGAGAAGAAGCACTAAGAGACATGGGAAGCTTCTTCAGTAAAGACATAATTGAATCCAGTGGCTGGATTTTGGGCCCCTGATGCTGTTTGATCCAGCCACATAGACAGTTTTTATACTTAGATACTCTGCACTGACAATACAGTGGGGAAAACATCCAGGCAAAATCACACACCTGGTTTGTCTGAATTGTGTTTCCCAGTAAGTTCATGGGAGCTGACTCTATTGCCAATAGTATGCTGGAGACAGAACTTGCAGATGCTACCACCGATGATGCAATAAGCCTCTCATCTTTGCCTATTAAGTCTGTAGTTATCAGCTTGGATTTCATATTTTAAAAAAACAAAACCTAGGGCAGTGCTTCTGAAATGAATGTCCACACAATTATCCTGGAGTTCAAGTAAAACACTGATTTTTGATTCAGTAGGAAAGAGGCTACTTTTTATTGAGTACCCAGCTAATACCAATGCTATTGTCCATGAACTACACAAGGAGTTGCAAGGATATATGATGCTTTTTAAAATAAGGATTACTGAGGCTCTCAGATAAAATAATCACAATCTCTGAGAAGGGGCCTGTGCAAAATTCTATAAAGCTCCCATGTGGCTCTATAATAAAGTAAGGGATGAGCACTATTGCATTAAAGTCTACCTCAAAAGCTGCCATTATATTGGAATAATACAATCTTGTGAGAATACATTTATGCAATAGATAACATTTATGAATGCTTCCATTAATTAAAGAATTGCATTGATGAATATTAATCAAAATATTCCTAGAATTTGGGGAAGTCATGGGAGGCTGAGGGGTAGAGAAGAGGAGGGTCATCATACCTGTAAATTCTCCAGCAGAACATCACACAACCTGAGAAATCTGGTTAGAAGTGTCATTTGTCCAACTTACCCAATCTGTCTGAGGGTGATTCCAGGCCCCTGGCTTGAGATCCTGCTCCCCTTCATTCACTAAGGCATGTGAAGTAACAGCTTCTGTAGCTGTCACCTTTGTCTGCAACATCCCTTCTCACATCTCCCATTCTACACATCCTTGGGTCTAACTAGCCTTGGACCCCAAAGGATGCTAAATCCTGGAGGAATTAATTAAAGGCAAAGCAATTGCCCAGGGCCTCTCAGGACAATTCTCTGAGTCTTAAAGAAGTGACTGATTACAGTCACTGATAACACTGATATACCTGGGGGGAAGGTGGAATAGAGAAAAGTTCATGAATGGATGTTTAAACACTGCCTGTTTAGAAGACAGTAGTCCTGTGGGGCTTGAGCCTACATTTTTGGAGGTGAAGGAAGATGTAGAAGCCATAATAACTAGTAGGGATGGGAATGTGAATATCTTAAAATATCTTAGGAGTGTAGTAGGTTCTACCTGGTAGATAATTAGAAGCAATCAGTGTTCTTTGAGCAAAGTGCCGTGAAAGACACTTATTTTGGAATTATTCTCAGGGTGGTAGAATCTCTCACTACAACCCAAGTGCTCATAAGCATACCCAAGGGGAGAGATACAGCTGCAGCTAACAAGATTAGACCTCTATTACCCAACCACATGCAAGTATATGGAAAAGACTTGAGTAAAAGATAAACTCTCCCAGATCATACTCAATTTCCTCAATCCAAGAATGGAAAGGAAATCTAGTTTGAATCCCACTGACATACTTCTATTTCCTTACCTCTTTAAGAAAGCCTTAATACACCCACCACCACCATCTTCTCTACTACTCTACATATGTGTCAGATTAACTCCTAATCTCCAGCTTTTCCTTATGTTGCAGTTGATCACAATACCATGGTTGACATTTATAACTCCTTCTTTCACCACACATTCCATCTTCTCCTTGGCCATCATCTCAGCTGGATGGGGTTCTTCACATGGTGATATTATGCAAACCTTCATTTCTAGGGAATACACATTTTCATTGTCCTTGTCTTTATTGGGTTGTTATAGTTTTCATTAACATTTATTATTAGACATGACAATACTAAGCTGTAGCAAAAGAATTCCACAGGATTTCAGACATGATCCTCTTTGATCCAGTTGTGTAGAACATCCTAGTTTTCCCTTCGTAATCAATATCCCTAGACAGAGCAACAATCATGATCTTTGTCTATTGGCTCGCATAAGAACTGCAATTTGTACAGGTGGTAGGCTGAACTTCTGATTCAATGAAACCATTGTTAAATTCTGGGGGAAGCACTCCTGAGACACTGCTTGTGCACCATTCTCAATCCAACCTTACCTCTTAATCCAGCCACAGCTGCAGTAACCAACTCTGCACTGACTTCAAACACCTTTAATAAATGCAACCTAATAGCACCTGGTCTCAATTCTGCTGCACCTACTCCTCTATTCCTGCTCTCAGCCTTCCCTAGCTCCATGAAACAAGGCTTTAGGGAAACTTTCTCAGTATTCATACAAATATTTAGGTACATAATCCTTCATTGTAGAGTGTGAGCTCTTGATTAAGGTGTTTTGCATATGGAACTCCAATTTGCAAGCACTGATAGTTGAAAAGATTATTTTCCACTGAACTGCCTTTGTACCTTTGTCAAAAGTCAATTGATGACACATGAGTGAATATATTTCTGGGTTCTATATACTACTGTATGCTTTCTATACTGATCTATATTTCTATTTTTTCTCTCATACAACACTTCCCTGATTATATTTATTATATTAGTGAGTCTGGAAAGCAGGCAATGTTAGTCATCCGATTTTGTTATTCATTTCCAAAGTTAAATTTACTATTTTAGTTTTTTGCCTTTACATATACATTTTACAATTAAGTTTTAATTTGTAACCCCAAAAAAATCTTTTTGGAATTTTTAAAAATGTTTTCATTGATTTTTAGAGAGAGAGGAAGTGAGAGGGAAAGATAGATAGATATACTGATGAGAGAGAAACAGCAACATTAGCTGCCTCCTGCGTGTCCCACACTGGGGATCAAGCCTGCAACTGGAGCATGTACCCTGACAGGCAATCAAACAGGTGACCTCTTGCTGCATGGGTCAGCACTTAAATCATTGAGCCACACTGATCAGGCTCTTTTGGAATTTTGATTGGTATTGTATTGAATCTTTATATCAGCTTCATAACAGTCAACATCTTAACAATATTGAGTCTTCCAATCCCTGTACATGTTATATCTATGATTTCTTTAATCAGTATTTTGTGACTTTCAAGATATAAATCTTTTTATATATTATGTAAGATTCATATGTAAATGTTTAGCAGTTTTGTGCTATTGTAAATGGTACTTGAAAGTATTCTGTGGTATGTCCTAGATGGTGGCATAGAAGGTTGTTTAACTCACCCCTCCCATGAACACACTAAATATACACTTACATATAGAACAATTCCTGCTGAGAGACAACTGAGGGCTGACTGACCAGCTTTTGTACAACACACAAGAGATGAGACCACATAAAGAAGGTTGGGGCACTTCAGAAGCTCTTCAATATATGTGCCAGTGAGTGCCATCCATTTTTTACATTCTCCCTCCACCTAGAGCAGTGGTTCTCAACCTGTGGGTCGAGACCCTTTTGGCGGTCGAATGACCCTTTCACAGGGGTCGCCTAAGACCATCCTGCATATCAGATATTTACATGACAATTCATAACAGTACCAACATTACAGTTATGAAGTAGCAACGAAAATAATTTTATGGTTGGGTCACAACATGAGGAA